TATATATATATATATATATATATATATATATATATATATATATATATATATATATATATATATATATATATATATATATATATATACTCAAGTATGAATGAATTATCAAAAGAAAATAAGAATTAATAATAAATTATCTTATGTAGTTAGTTATCTTTGGCATCACAATCCTTATATTTTAAAAATTTACATTGGTATCTTTATAGATATAAAAGTGAAACATCTAGATTCATTTACTCTAACGACGTCAATTTTATCAATGAAAATACAAAAACAAAAGATAAAAAGATAATTTTAACGTTCTAATTTGTGGTGACGGACGACGTTGGTGGTGGTGGATAGCGATGGTGTTGGTGGTCACAAGTGGCTATTGTGGATAATAATAACTATGTCAGCGTCGATCGCAAATGTATAGTGATATCACTCTGCATATATGGAGAAGGAAAATAAGAGTCCTTTGATTTTTTTTTTTTTTGGACAACCAAATTGAACAGGACATGCTTATCATGCATTTCTTTCACTTCAAAATTAATGATAAGAAGCCAAATCCTTCAATATCCAAATACATTTATTTGTTGGAATCTCCTGCCGACAGTTGATAGAAACAATGACAGTAGTGCCTTTATATAGTTATAAACAAATAATGCATGACAAAGATTGTGTAGCGGTTTCTATATGCTGTTACTGCTTGCTGCTCGATGCCTTGTGTTGGAATTCATCCAGCAGCAGAAAGAGTAGTCACCTGTAGTAGTTAGTTTGATAGGTAGTGTTAAGCGAAATTTCTATTCAAAGGTCGCGATTTTTTTTTTTTTTTTTTTTTTTGGAGTTTGATCCCTTCGACATTCAAGTTAATGATTTTATTTTTTTATCTTCCTTTTACTTTTTTTAGAGTTTTAAGTATATTTTTATACTAAAATAATATCCCGTACGATAGTTTGTAACCGACTCGAACTATCCCTTAATCTTTGAATTATTCTATGATCTTCTTGAAATATTTATATAGATATTTTGTAGGAGATCGATTCTTAATATTTTTGAAATGTTTTAGAACAGAATTGATTCTTAAATTGGTTTGAATTATCTTTTGATCCGTCTTAGAGATTGACCGACAACAGTAGTTGATCTTATATTTCGAAGAAGGACGAGCAACATAAGTTGATCTTTATATTTCAAACCAATTGGCCACCTGACGGAGGGACCCACCCCTTCTCTCACTTGCTCCCTTTGTCCTGTATCACTGTCACTTCCCCCGCCCCCCCCCCCGGTCATCCACCTCCGGTTCCTTATCAGGAACACCATCAGCTCATCCTCCTCGCAGATCCAATTGGTCGCTTCTTGGGTGAAAGAGAAAGAGGAGATGGCTTCTCCGCCGGACACAAGCAAGACCGCCAAGCTAGAGCGCTGCAACAACTACCTCCGCCGCGTCAACAGCGCCAAGATCATCTCTGCCTCTTCACGCCTCCTCTTTCGCGCCTCCATCCTCGCCACCGTAGCGCTCATCCTCCTCTTCACCCTGCACTACCCTCCCCTCCTCCTCCTTTCCCATTACTCCGCCAACGCCGCCGCCCGCTCCAGCCACCGGAGCCTTCTCTCCTCCGATGTCACTTACGGAGGTGCAGCCTGGGAACGGGAGGTCCGCAGCTCCGCCACGCCGCGCCGTCCCTCTGGCCTCACCGTCCTCGTCACCGGCGCTGCAGGGTTCGTCGGCACCCACTGCTCGCTCGCGTTGAAGAAGCGCGGCGACGGCGTGGTCGGCCTCGACAACTTCAATTCCTACTACGACCCCTCGCTCAAGCGCGCCCGCCAGTCCCTCCTCTCCCGGCATGGCGTCCTCGTGGTGGACGGCGACATCAACGACACGCCATTGCTCACCAAGCTCCTCGACGTCGTCCCCTTCTCCCACGTCCTCCACCTCGCCGCCCAGGCCGGCGTCCGCTACGCCATGCGCAATCCCCAGTCCTACGTCACCTCCAACGTCGCCGGCCTCGTCGCACTACTCGAGGTGGCTGCCAAGCACGCCGACCCCCAGCCCGCCATCGTCTGGGCTTCCTCCTCCTCTGTCTACGGCCTCAACACCGCCACCCCCTTCTCCGAGCTCCACCGCACCGACCGGCCCGCCTCGCTGTACGCCGCGACCAAGAAAGCCGGCGAGGCCATCGCCCACACCTACAACCACATCTACGGCCTCTCCATAACCGGCCTCCGCTTCTTCACCGTCTACGGGCCATGGGGCCGCCCCGACATGGCCTACTTCTCCTTCACCAACAACATCCTCCGGGGCAAACCCATCACCCTGTTCCGCGTGCAGGACGGCACCGCCGTGCAGCGCGACTTCACCTACATCGACGACGTCGTCAAGGGCTGCCTCGGCGCGCTGGACACCGCGGAGCGGAGCACCGGCAGCGGCGGCAAGAAGCGAGGCCCCGCGCAGCTGCGCGTCTACAACCTCGGCAACACGTCGCCGGTGCCGGTGGCGAAGATGGTGGGCATCCTGGAGGAGCTGCTGGGGAAGAAGGCCAAGAAGCACGTGGTGACGCTGCCGCAGAACGGCGACGTGCCGTACACGCACGCCAACGTGAGCATGGCCGAGAGGGACTTGGGCTACCGGGCGACGACCGACCTCGCCACCGGGCTGAAGAAGTTTGTGAGGTGGTACGTGGAGTACTACGACAGGAAGAGCAAAAAGGAGGCGTCGGCCTAAGGAGGGAGGGGATCGCCACCGCACTCCAAAGTGAGTGTGTAGTAACTGTTGTGCCCGAGTTTACTAGATTACTGTTGGAGAACTGTAGGGTTAATAACAATGGCAATAAAGATGAAGATGGGGAAGAGAGGTAGAGGGTAAGGATGGAAGATGACAGTGAGGAGGAACCAGAAGGATGATGTCATGTCATGGTCCATCTATCTCTCTCTTTCTTCTTCCCTCACTAAATTTGTTCATCACAGTTTCCTTTTTTTTTGGTTAACTAGTCAATCTATCTCGTGGGATGTGAATCCATATAATCTGTTTGCTAATGAATTATACATTCATGTAGTGTGCATAGGAGGTATTTAAAGCAAATGCACCCTTTCCCCAAATAAAAGATATCTACTACACCAATGTGTAAAAGTTTTCTTGTGTGTCATAGAATCCCAATGACCATGCCAGAGAACCAAGTTAAAATTGCAGGTAAATTGTACTTGCAATTTACCTAACACATTTACTATATACAAGTAAGAAATCCCATGAGTTGAGAATTGAATCTGGATGACCCACCTAAATTCCAGTAGCTCCTCATTGCTGCCCAGAATAACAACACACAAGCTACTACTTCATTCATCATCTTTTGAGGGGGAAGCAACAGCAGCCTCAGAAGATGCACATGAAGTGCTATAAATCTGTACTTGAGATTCCTTCCAGAGTTAATAATATTGGCCTCTCCCGGTGGCCATTGCACCAGTGGCTCTCTCTCTCTCTCTACTCTTGTCACATCATAATACAGGGTTCTAAATCCAAATCCTTGTGGAGGTACAACTCATGTTAGAGAAAGAGAGAAGAAAACGCATGAGACCAAAGTAAAAGAATCAGAGACACCAAATAGGTTTATGGTATGACGGGCACCAGTTAAAGATCTCAATGAAGTTGCAAAAGCAACAGAGAGTTGTATATTATGCAGCACTTTTAACATGAACTTTGTACCTACATTAACACATCATAGTGAAAGCTTAAACTAACTCAAAAGTCATTTAGATGCTATCATAGCAGGTTGGAGAAGCTGGTGACGAGGGTCAGGTAACAACACAGAGAAACAGATATAATGTCCAGCCATGATGATGCCTGGAGCCACTGTCTTCATACAAACACCTATTGGGGAGTATTGATTGAAGGTAGCTAAAGCCTTAAAGGTGACAACTGCTCACATTTTTCCCTCATCTCATATGAAGATAAAGCTGGAGTTCGAAAGGGATGCTCATGTGCTCGGAGAACCCCTTTCCCAAAAGCAATGTTTCCATCCTCCCTCCAGTGATTCCCACTCCACTACATCTTTGCAAAGTAAAAATAACCCTGACAAACCATATTTTTCAACAAAGAGCTTCTTGCATTCTCAACTTCTGTAACCATTTGAGTTTCAAGAAATCTAATCTGCAGTTTTACTCATCATTCTACAGTTTTATATTAATGCAAAGACAGCATCTCATTGTTATGCTGTAGATTAAGGAAAAACCAAAGGACTTTGGAAGCAGCAGGAATAATTATGAGTGAAAGGTCTTGGCAAATTGCAGATGGTTTTCCAGGTAGGGTTGAGAGAAGCATGGGTAGCTCTTTTGACATCTTGCTGCAATGTCAATATCCAAATAGCACAAACCCAAGTAGCCCAAGAGGTTGTCAAGGTGACTGCAAAAAGAGCCTATTTAGTAAAAATAACCCACAATGTACAATAATCATTTTATTTGGTGAGAGTTTTCAATTGTGAGGTAAGAAAGGTGATCTACAGATATACTACAAGTATCCAAGTTAAAACTGGCATGGGTTTGGATAACTGGATAGTTGATCAGATTCAAGAACAGATAATTCAAGAACAGATAGGGTGACTTCATGGGAGCACCTAACCCATCACCTTTCCTGATCTATATAGTGTCATCATTGCTAATCTCTGTAGCCATGGTAGAAAATAAGATACTTCCTTCCAAATACCCGGGTCTGCTCGAGATTTTAAAAGTAAGATTAGAATACTCTTAATCTGATTTAGAACAGATAAGCACATATATACCAAAATAGGTTTTAGTAAAGGTTCAGGTAGCTGGATAGGTAGTCAGATTGGGAATTAAATAGGATGAAATAGGACGATACCTACCATTACAGCTACTATCCAATCATAATGGAAAATTAATGACATTGATCGAGAAACCAAACAGAAAACAATTGAAGAGAACACTGAAGTAAAACCAACACCATTACTAACAAAGTCATTTGTAATAGAATGATCTGAATCTCAACCAGTATATATGATCATTAATAATTACGATACTTTTCATGTCATCAAAGTATTAATAGCAGTTTAAGTAACAAAAATAAACTGAAATATAAATAATAGTTCAACAAGTGCAGAATGCATATCAAAAAAGGTAACGTAGCATCATAAAAATAGTATTCATTATAAACTGCTTCAAAACCCCTGCAACAATACCCCTTCAAAAGTCATTCTGTCCACCACCATAGCCGGCACTGCCACCATAACCACCGCTGCCGCCATAACCACCACCGAAGCCACCGCGAGACCCACCACTAGGTCTTTCATTAGCATAGCTTACACGAATGTTCCGGCCCTGTAATTCCTGACGAATAAAAGTAAAAATGTCAAATGATGCATTGTTATTCAGCATCAAGTGAGAATTTCACATTCAGATACAATCAGCTAGAAAAGGATAAATCAAACAAGGCTGACATACCTGGCCATCCATGCTAGTCAGAGCACTGCTAGCTGATTCATCACTATCAAAGCTTACAAACCCAAATCCTCTCGATTTTCCTGTGTCTCTATCAGTAATAACTCTTGCTGCATCAACAATAACAGTTACTTACAGTGTGCTGCTTGTAGTAAACAATAAGATGATGTTTTACCAAGAATTTGTTTTCAAGCAACGTGGAATAAAACTAATCATTGTATTATCATAGCAGACACATGAATCTTAATAAGAATAACGACAAAAGAATTTTGTCATGAGAAATTAATACATAGGCCATATGAGGCATATTTCAGTTATACGGGAACCAGATGACAATAATTTCATCACCACAATAAACTCTTCACTTGATGAGCAAACATGCTACTAACCTTCAACCACTTCTCCAAAGGAGTTAAAAGCCTCCTTAAGCTGTTGATCATCAGTACCATAGGAAAGACCTGTAAGCAACAAAGTAGTAGAAAGATAAAGAAAAGATAACAGATGCATTCAGCAACATGTTCTTAGACAGGTAATTTATGTTTCCCAGTGAAATGTTATGCAAAATATCTAAATCCTAACTGAAAGAACAGAAAGAGATATTACCTCCAACAAAAAGCTTTGATGACATATAGCGCATAGAGTTAAGCAGATGCATAGCCCCACTTGGGGCACCTGATATTCCATTTTTCAATAGTCCTTGCCTAATTAAGCCACCAAGTTTACTGGAAAATGCCATCTCACAGTTTTTTACTGTATATATAGCAGGAGGCAGGTCAGCAGTTTTTGAAAAAATCAAAATTATGACGCTAAATATATATTGATGAACATAGCAAAACATTGCAGCAACAAGCAAAACAAATAATAAAAAGCTAAAAACAACAACTTGTGTAAAAGAGCATGAAAAAACCAGCGAACCATGACAAGCTTCAGGTGATGCTCTAAAATAGAATTTCAGTTCCTAAATCTGATGACATCAACAGACTGAACAGACATTTTCATCTAGAGAATTGTTAGGTGCTCACTTAATTCAGTGCTTTTGTATATTTGAAACACAAATAGATGCAGAGCATTAAGCAAGCAAGTGCACTATGCAGGCAAAACACATACCGAAAAGAATATCCCAGACCAAGGTTTCCAATATGGATTGGAACAATACATACCAACCAATATTTATCAATCTGAGCAAAGACTGCTAATAGATCATATAGTTCATTATCCATCAGTGTGCTTTCTTTTTTTCTTATATAGTGATATAGCATGGTGCAAGTTGGTGTACCACTCGTTATGCTAATACAGTATTGCACCAATAAGGTGTCGAAGATACTATTAGCAATATTTTAAACCTTGCCCCAGATAACCAAACCCTTGACCACAAAAGGTTTGACATTATAAACATAAAGGACTGTTAACTAATCAACTTTATATTCAAAAGCAAACCAAAAGTAGAAAACAACAAATAATTTATAGAATCTCTAGGTAGATAGGCAGAAAGCCCCATTTTTGTGACCAAATCATGGTAGGTCAAACATTGTCTAATTTAAGAGCTAATATATAAAGATCATCAGCAACTGGAATTAAATGAAGCTGAATATCCTATTGTTCTAGCAACTATTGATAGTAACTCTGGTAGTACCCATCTGTTTGTCCTTAGTTTCCAGACTTCAACCTACATCTTATCGAATCAGAGGCATGAAATTGTTGACTTTGACTATTTCTAAATCCAGAATGTTATGTGAAGATAAAAAGGATTTAAACCAAAATCATATAGATAGATCTATTACTCCTCTCATCTATACCCTCCTGAAGTACAAGAATCAACACCCAAAAAGAAAAAAAAAGGGTGGAAACCTAATCTCCGCAAGATGTCTGTGATTCAAAACATCAGCTATATTGTTTTTCAAGTCCTTAAAGCCAAAAACAGACAACGGAATACCGGACAATTAAATTCGTTTTCTCGATACTGGATTTACAGACAACCATCTCAGACTTGTTCCCTTCCATCTTTAAGTTCACCATGAGACTACATCGGAACCAAAGTACATAAACAAGTTTCATGCACTAGCTATATATATATCCTATTTTCTTCATCTATTAGTCCAGAAAACACAGTAATAATCCGTCCACTCAACCTAAAGAAGAAAAGTGAGCTCACATAAAAAAAAATCCAAGAAAACGGCGGCATCTTTCGCTTACACATCAAATCTCTAAAAATAAAAAAATAAAATAAAAGAAACAAGCTAAAAAAGAACAATGAAAAATTCAACAAGATCCAATGAGAATCCACGAAAGCAAACTTTCACATCGGCAAACGAAGCGATGAAAGACACCTAAACCAAAAAGATGAACGCAAAAGGAGTCAAAACGAAAACAAGAAATCAGACCTAGAGGAATCGGTAGGGGCAGAGAAGATGGCAGCGAGCGAGACGTGCGACGGCTGTGGAAGGGGGGGAAGACGGGTTTTTAAATAGGGCAAGGGATCAGCTAGGGTTTAAGCCCCTCTCCACGTCAGCTTGAAGTGAAACATCGAAGGGTACTCCCTATAATTTTTTTATGCGGAACTTCGTGACTTGTGTACTTACATAAATGACTATGCGAACATCTCATCATTCAAATTAAGTTGTACTCGCTCTCTCGCGCGCGCGCGCTATCTATCTCATCATTCAAATTAAGTTTAGTTTAATTTAGACACTAATTGCAAAACATGCTAACCTTCATGTATATCTTCTGGTTAATACGATGGCCATGCAGGTAATAAGTATTTTTATTATTTTATTAGAGATAATTATTATTTATTTAAGGTTGAATATTAATATGAGAGGGATATACGTGAAAATTCATAATATTTCAAATTCCAAATTAATTCGATCTAAAATAGATGCCCGATTGAGGCATAGATTTGCATTGCTCTTATCGAGAGAGAGAGAGCTGCTATATGGAGAAAATAACTGACAGGTAACCATGAAGCATTTGGTGAGCATTATTGATTAAGACAATTGAAGTATATAAAGTATCAAATTACATTATCAATCTTGCATGAATATTTGCTGCAGCACCAACAAAACAGCGGTTTGATTTCCTTATATCCAAATATCAGAAGTGCAATCTCCTCCAGGATACCTCATCTCATGTGCCAGTGCAGGTCCTTCAGGCTCTAATCCAAAATCAACAAAGAAGTTTGGATTTACAGTCAGTCCGCCTTGCTCGGTGTTTACGTCGATCTGCAACATGTGAGACCCCTTCTTCGTGAGGTCTGGACCGTAGAACTGGTTGTCCCACGCGCTAAAGAGGGAGTTGGTCACGTACAGCCGCTTCCCATCCAGGCTCAGTTGAATCATCTGTGGTCCTCCTCTTAGTCGATTTCCCTGGTAAAACAGTAGTAGTTGTTATGACAAGGTCTCAGTTTTACGACAAAATGTAGCAACAATATGATTTTTGAAAGTAAATCACATTAGCTTGCTACACTTCACTTAGTTTGGAAATAGAAGCATGTATCGAAAATTAATTCTCATTTCCTCTCGCAGTGACCAAGGATTCTCTATAAACTCTGCAAGAGTGCGGTCTGCAACTTTTTTGTGTAAGGAAAAGAAAAAAAGACAAAGAAGCATATCGTCAAAATGACGACAGCATGGAATGCAGAATAATGTAGCAATATACTCATGGAATGAGAATGGTTTACTTATGGTTGCGAGATACTGACCTTGATCTCAGGTACATCAAATTGTGACTCTTTCCCGTCCTCTGACACATAGACTACATCACTTCCCTTCTGAAGGAGTCCTCCAACCCAAACTTGCCCTGCCAGCACCGGCTTTGCAGGATTTTCAATGTTGTACTGTCTAATGTCTCCGTGAAGCCAGTTGACAAAGTAGAGGTAGCGGTCATCAAGAGAGATGAGAAAGTCGGTAATCAGCCCTGGCATTTCCGGGAGAATCCAGTTTTGGACCTTCAGCGGTGTTACAGATATGGCAACCTTGAAAAGCAGACATTGCATTGAGATTTTTTAGTACCTTATACCCAATGGCAACGCAGTAGTAGTAGCAGAGGGCTAGAAAAGAAAATGGGAAAACAAACCTCATGGTTCCAGGATCCATCTGAGGTCTTGAAGAATCTAACCATGTTGCTGGACAAAGCACAGCCAACAAAGCCAGTGTCTTTAGATGGGTCATGAAGGAACCTTGTCTGCAGAAAGTAGTAATAGTTTTCAGAATATGAATTTACTGGAGTTTAATATTAAGCTCAACACAACTAATACTGACTTCTAAGGGTAGCAGCCCCGAATTTCCAAGATCCAATGTCTGCTTTATTTCACCATCTGGCCAGCTATAAACATTCAAGTGTCTTCCATATAATCCATCTGACACATGCTGTAGGTTGAAGCCCTTTGAAAAAGCCGAAGGAGCACCCCATGAAGAACTGATCATGGTCTTGTGTCGTGGTTGGTACCAAAAATCATAGCCAAATATGGGAGCATGGCCCGGTTTTTCCCATCTGTATGGATGTGATATACAATCAAATCAAACTTCATTTGCAACAAGGAAGTCAAATGAAACAAATAAACAGAAATGGAAAAAACATCTTATAATCCCCAAAGAAAAAGAAGAGACACGGTTGTGAAATAGGGAAAAAGCTACCATTATAGTGTTTGCTACTTATTGTATATCATGTTGCAGTGTTCAACTCTCACTGCAGTTTTAAGGAAACAATATCGGAAGAGGAAAGGAAAGAATAAAGAAAAACCCTTAAAAATCTTTGAAGGAAATAAATATCCCACAACAAATAAGGAATATATCATAGGATTTGCTACATATCTCAAGTTCAATGGGTATTCATTTTAGATAATTTTTTTCTTACTTTGTCTTTTGTATTACCTAATAGGGGCCTTAGCATGGCCCAACACTATCTTTAAAGCATGCAGGAATAAGTTTTGAACCTTTACACGACACAGATATACTGCATCAGTCCCTATATTCATAGCTACAGATAAATAGGTTTTCAACCTTTCTATGACATGTATATCTACTACATGATAAAACTAATATCGGATTCCTAGGTATGCATTAACTATATTTAATGAGTTAAATTATTAGTGAAATACAAATTTTCATGCACCAATAAACAAGATTTTTCCACAATGATTTCTAGGAAACCATATGCTGGAAAACAACATAACTCGATACTTTACAGCAGCAGAACATCTGAAGAAATAGGAAGCATTTCGTACTAATAGATTTAAATGTCAATTCATTACTAAGATGACAATTTGGTTAGTATCATCATCAACTTTATTATCCTTGCCTCAGTACTAACGTCATTTATCACATCTCCAATAAGTTGTAGTAAAAGAGATTGATGTTACAGGAAATTTTCATCTTTAGAAGATGAATAAGATGCTGATATTCTACTAGTGAAAGAGAAGAAAACTTTATCTGTCTGATTTAGGTTGGAACCAGACAATTTATGCACAAAACAATCTGTCTAGAAATTAGTAAAAATTATTAAGGTAGATGTCTCGTTACACGTGAATGGGCATACCTTCCTTTTACATTGAAGTCCGAATCAAGAAGAAGGAAGCCATTACCCTTAGCATTTCCTTCTTTATCCCCAAGGCAAGATATCATTATTTCACCAGATGCAAGACAATGGGAAGTATGAGGATATGCTAGTTCAGTCTTTTGCACAATATCCTCAGGCTCAACAACCTTATGCAATGATGGAGCTCTCGGAGATTTTGCAGTGTTAACGGCGTATACGCGGCCGGATCTGAAAAGATAAGAAAAGAGCAAGCTTGATTATTGAACACATCTAAATAGCAGACAACAAAGGATGTAGCTTAGGAGCTATTCAGAATGGTTTTGAACCAGTCATCACAGGAAGCACTCCTATAACAGAATTCTCAAATGTAAATATTATCCCTGTAAGGCATAATAGATAAAGATAGAACATAACGGATTTGAATATTTTAATATTAAGTCACTCGAGGAATAAACATTCTAAAATCAAGGAACATACTCCTTCATGTCAGGTGCTTTGTACAATTTGATTTAGGGAATAACACAAACAATTATTATTTTACATCCAATTATAATTTAAGCATAAAACATCAATTTCATGGACAATTGAAATAGTTATATTTTTATGAGAATATATCACATCTTAACAATCTTATCCAACAAAGAACCTTGGTCTTTTGCAAGTGAATTGTTTCTTATGACCAATATTTATATAATATTTATTTGTAAGACATACTTGGGAAGTTGGCAGACCATGCAGCTATCTAACTGAAAATCCTAGGATTTGTCAGGTGAAGATAAGAATGATCATTGCTAATAGTGAACATGAATGAAATAAAACTGATTCATAGATATTGACAATGAATGTCTTAATGACTTAAATACTCACAGAACAGCTCCGAATATTGTTTAAGCTGTTCCAGAACTATAATCATGTATAGCGTGTTAGATAAAAGTATGCTTTACAGGACCAAATATAAAAGCACCAATAAACAAAATCAACATCTGTTCATAAGAAGTGAGAATATAAACAAGCAGAACACCACATGCTACATATACAATCTTACAGCAATGAAGGCAAAACCAAGAATTTCCGAACTGCTGAAGGGTCACCATGACAAGAGCTGCAGGAATTCCAACCAGAATGGTGCAGTTCATCACCAACATAGGGCATAGGGAGTCTGTGAATGACTTTGGAATAGGATGGGGAGTTCGGATCCACATCCACTGTTGCCAAGTAGTCAGGCTTTTCTATTCCAGTTCCTACATAAATGAAGAAAAGATATTTGCTGTCAAGTCTATCAGCTAAAACTTAAATATAACTGCCAACAAAAGCTTGTATAAAATATCTTTATTTGAATTAAATTAAAGTGAGTGATAAGCATTGCAATCTAATAAAATGTATTGTCCAACAAGCATTTTTATTTAAGCTTGCAGAAATTTTGTAGCATAGCATATACACCTACCAAAGCCTACTGAAGAAAATATTTTAGTTGTTGATATCCAAAAATAAAAGAATTGCAAAATGCGCAGCTACAAGGACCATAACAATTTTAAATTACAAGAAAAGAAACCCAGAAAGAACTAGTTATAAAAAACCACATTGTAGAAAAAATAAATCTATGATCTTTCATATATAACTTCCTCAAGTATCCTTTGTCGATTCACCTTCCATGGAAGGAAATGAGCGTGCATGAGAAAAGGAGATAAATAATTTACTGAAGAGTAAGTGCATTACCAATCAATTATAAAAAAAAAAATTTACATCGCACCAAGGGGTGCCGCTTTGGTTTATGCTTTGCTGGAAGGAATAATAGGTGATTCTAATTTGAATAAATTTTCATAATCGGATAATAAGATTTTCTGTATCTCCTGATACTGGCCAGTTTGTTTTAGCCATTTGTGTGGGATGCTTTAGGAAAGTGCCTGCACAGTTACCAAGTTCAAAATGCATGAATTGGAAACCTGCAAGATTCCTCCAAAGCCACCACAGGAATCAAACATTAACAATGAACTTAAAAATCTCTTCTTGAAGCCAAGGCCTGGAAGCCCCCTGGCTAGAGTCTGTGATACGAGACTGTAACTCCAGCTAAGTCCGAAGAAATGAATTCTATTAATGCCGAGAAGGAGCTAAAAAGTATTGAATGACAACTCTTCTTGCTATGCCCTAAAAATAGAGGGAATTAAAGATTTTTTAATCTCAGCCAAAAAGAAATCCTTCTTAATGAAACCTTCAAAATGATGATGATACGATTCCCAAAGAAGGGGCCTGATAACAATAAAAACTATGAAGGCTACAAAAGTAACATCAATAATTAATAGGCAGCAGCTCCTGGCCCAAGACACCATTCAAGAACAATAGAATCAAGTCCAAAATCAAAGTTTTGCGGATCAGTACGAGTAACTTTTTCTTTATCTACGTAGATTAAAGAGACGCAGCGTGTAAGGGTTACAACAAAACCGAATCTCAAGGGTTAAAGAAACAAGAAAAAAAGATAATAATTTACTTCAAAAACGCATCGGAATCAAACCTAAAGAGTCTCCCAAGCAAAAATTACCCAGAGAAACAAGCAAAGGAGAGATGTATTTCACCATTATACACACAGGTGACATAGATCAGGGCCTCGCGAGGCCCCGCCATGGCCTCGATGGGGGACGCATAGCCCGGGCCCGTGTGGGCGCAGCAAGCCTTGGCCTCGGCAGCCTGCACTACTTCCGCAGCACCAGCCATCGTAGTGTCCTCAGATCGCCAACAAAATTTCAGCTTATGCTCGAATCCGATCAAAACACCCAAAGACAATGTCGAAATATCGAAACCCCTAATGATGCTTGGCGACGGTCAGAACGAGGCTTCGCCGTCCACGGAGACGTATATGGAGGTGAAGGGGTACAGTGTTCCACCTACGTGGCGTAGCATGGAACGGTGCAACGAACGAGTCGATTCGCGATTCATGGATGCGGACGCAGAATGACGTTGTGTCAGTCTTTATCGAATCTGGACCGGATTTTGGTTTAGATCCACTGACGGATTATTAAAGGAAATTACTCTTTCCAAATACATCAAATTTTAAGTTGTCTTACCAATTTTAACATAAAAATATATATATATATTAAAAATTATTATTTTTTATTTTTTTAAAAAAATATTTTTTGCTTGGAGATGACATGAAAGAGGTATAAGTCTATCTTAAATCAAAAATATTTTTTAACTACCCATATATCTAAATTTAGAATCCATAATATAGAATCTAAGGACACTAGATGCATTTAATTTTGATTTACGCATGTTATAAAACTTGTTTAATTTATAATCATGTAACATATCACTTGTTAGCATCATAAAATCTAATGTTAAATTAAAATTATTAACGACCACTTATGGACTTACAAGATCCGATGAAAATATCATAATAATAAAAATCAATCATTTACTATAAATTCACATAAATATAAAGTTTTCCTATTTAACATTTTAAACTTTCAAAATAGGAGAGGTTTTTTACTACATTTACACACGCCAACTTATACTTTTTTCATAATATTACAAGTAAGATATTTTATATAATAATATATTATTAAACTACTAACATAAGTGTGTGAGACAAGTTAACCTGAAAATTTTATATAGTAACTATATGAGGTACAAAGCATAGCAAACGTTCTATCCATCCTATAATAATTCTTATATTTGATTCCTTCTTATTTATGAATAATTTGTAAAGCTTTACATGGTTCTGATAAGATTAACCTTATTTGAGTTGTAAGCTTGTTCTTTAGGAATAAATTCTGACGTATATGTATTATTTTGACTATAACATTCAATGTAAAATTTTGATTTAGTAAAATTATTTATTTATTTATTTTTAAGTAGACTCTTGTATATTTCTTATGGAGTCACGAGAAGCTCTAAACTTATGTTATATCAATCTAGAAATTAGCAAAATTATGTTATATTATGATCTCAACATACCATCTATGTCCATTTGATATGATTGGAATTTGTTATCAACTAAAATCCTCCTTTAAATGAGTCTCATGTTATTACTTTAAAACCTTTTTTATCTCTTAGGCATTGATTATTATTATAATTGATATGTTTATGTTAGCTTGATATTGTTTCGTTGTCTCACATATATTTTTAATATATCCTTTTTTTTATGAGAATGTTCTTATTGCACTTCAATGCTTATTCGATAATGTAAACTTTTGTTAGAAATGAAAATAGAGTTATATGTAAAGCCTGTGATGCTTTTGTCGCACCAATGACTTCGTCCAGATGTAGGTGGATAGAACTTATAAATATTAGAGACTAGTGAACACTTAAAAATGAATAGTATTATGCTATGTTATAATCTCACTTCACTTCTTTTGATATGTTTTTCACTGGACATACCTATGTATTGTTATATGCTCTTTTGATATGAAAGGATTGAATGAAATGTCAAATATATTTATTGTTAACATATTTTTTAATTTAGATCTTGTAATCATTATTTATAATTATATTTTTAAAATTTTAAATTAATTAACTTAAATTTTTTATTTAAAAAAAATGAATTTGGGAGAGACAAATCTAATATAAGTAAGACTATCAATTGAATGGAGAAAAATATAACTTGTCTAAGCATAGCTTGATGATTAAAGACCTGATGTAGCCCCTAACTCGATGTGGCCTGTGGCCCTACATAAGTCGTGACTTAGCACAATCCAATATGGCCTATTGCCCACAACCCAACATGTCCCAATAATTATGACTCAACACGATGTAATGACAATTTATATCTAATTAGGTTGAAGGGTGATTATAAATTAATTTTTATTAAATTTTAAATTTTGATGATAAAATCAATTGATGAATTTGATGAATAAATATATTGTCGAGATAAGTGGCGACAAAAATATTTTGATTAAAGATGTAGAATTTACATCTAGTTTGATGTAAAGGATTTTTTTACATCTAAAATCTTAAGTTCTTTTTCCAAAAAAATTGTTACGAAGATTCATAGCTGATATTATCATCATCATAACAATGCTACTTTTTAAGGGTTATGTTAATTAGAGAGATTCACTAAAAGGATATATATATATATATATATATATATATATATATATATATATATATATATATATATATATATATTCATAAAAGCTTTTGGATAAATACACGCAAAAATCATATTTTGAGGGGTCAAAAGCATTGACTTTGGTGAGATATAATATATTGCCTTTTTCTTTCCCTCTTTCTCCTCCTTCTATTTCTTTCCTTAATTTCATTTCATAAGTTTGATATGAATTTTTTTGTGGTTTGCTTAAAAACCAATATAAATAAATTAATGACTACAATATAGAGCAATTTAATATAAAAAAATTCATATGTTAGATCTAATTATTGGGTTGCTTGATTTAGCTCCATATTAGTTTGTAACTTACTACTGATCATGATGACTCCAATGACCTTGAAGGCCCATGGATCAGGTCTATTAAAACACATCAGATGCATTATTAATCATATTGGTCTTTAATTACCAAAAATAAAAAAACCTTTGTGAACATCACTTATGCACAATCTCAATCTCATTTTCATTAAATTCATATATCACCTCCTATGCAGTGAAAATTTATCACTCCATCCGTGTATTATTAAATTTATTATTATTATTCTCTATATATATGAGGTTTAAAATTTAAGTGTCTTTACTTTAATTGCATTCAAACTCAGATTCACTTAAGGTCGATTAAAATTCAACTATCATTTTTAGTCATTATATACATGCTTATTATCATAATATAACCTCATATTCAAGTCTGTTAGCACACTTTAATTTATTATATTATGTTTAATGTGAATATTAATATTATACTTAACTAATATTTTGTAGAATACTAAAAATAATATTTTTGGAAAGTATGTTCTTCAATCTTAAAAAATAAAAAATATGAGCATATCATTTTTTATATTTATGAAACATAGATATTACAAATCATACAGATGACATATATATATATATATATATTATCTATGCTTCTATTGACATGTTAGTCATAGTTTAAAATATATGAAACTTGAATATGACACCAGATTTTTCTCTTTATCTACCAATAAATTGCATCACTATATTTCAATAATTGAGACCATACACATTACCCAAGTCTAGGCATTGTTACTGTAGTATTTGATTAGCAAGACATGCATGCAAGCATCTAACCTACATTGCCATGCAAGAATCATATCCTGATAAATGACAGAGAAAGAAAGGAATTCAATGCCACTCCCTGAGAGAGGTGAGAAGTTGGTGGTGGAGTGGTTTGGCACTTCCTAAAGGCAAGAGTAATAGGTGGGAGATGCCTTCAAGGATGGAGCCAAAGGGAGGGGGAGTGTGTGGTTGTTAGATCTTGACCTGTTCCAGGCTATAAATCTAGTATGCATTACTTGTTCCTCACTAAGAGGAATCATTCATTAGATTAACTTGTCCTTCCCAATCTATATGAAATTGCTCTTTCCTTGTTCAGATGATAACAATTTCTCCCATTTTTCTAATCAGCTAGTCATAAATTGATGAATCAAGCTGCAAAAACTTCTATTTAGCCTTTTAGTTTCTTCTTCTTCTTCTTCTTTTGTTCTTCCTCTCCACTTCTTAGGGGTACATCAAGGAGATTAGCAAATATAATAATCTCTAAAGCTAGTAAGAAAACTAAAATCAAGCATTTATAATTGATTTGCTGAATGAGATTTTTTCCTGATATAGTTCAACAAAGTAATAAGAGAAATGATCTTTCCAGTCCTATGATTCTTTTCATCAGAACATTGCATTGTTGCTATCTCAAAGTACTTGTGCCAAGCAACAGTGTTCAGTGTGCTAATTGATCAGCTTCATTTCATCTCTCTCTTAACTGCAGTGAATTATGAAGTCCTACAAGTAAAAACTCTCTCTCTCTCTCTCTCTCTCTCTCTCTCTCTCTCTTTCTCTCTTGGGTTTATCTCAGTATTTGTTTTAACTGCATGCTGCAGTTTGATCTTTCTCCATTTTGGCCATCGACAGAAGGCAGTTTTGTGTACAGTGTCAGCACCAAAAGAGAGAGCAGCAGCCAAATCTCATGTCGGGTACTTGGTTTTGTAGTCACTCATGAGTATGATTCATGGAAGGTAGGGAAGCTGCTCCCAACTTTCTTTTCTGGAAGAAGATAACACACAACACCAGAGCAGGCGGCTGCTGTGTGCAGTTTTAGCTGCTCACGTGGAATGTCGTGTCCACTGGAGCATCGGATATCAGCGTAGATTACTGCGAGATCGAGATGGGAGGAGTGCCAAGATTGAGCCGGTAATGGAATCCGACAAGAGCCGGATTTAGCGGAGTGGACGATAGCTAGATGCAGGTAGGATTGACCTGGAAGAACACAGATTATTTATTCTAAGTAATCTTCAATGCTTCCAGTTCACTGTTTGACCTTTTTAACCATCTCTCTCTCTCTC